AGGCCTTGCCTTCCAAGAAGTGGCCACTCGGCCGGGCGCGGTGGCTCAAGCCTGTAATCCCAGCACTTTGGGAGGCCGAGACGGGCGGATCACGAGGTCAAGAGATCGAGACCATCCTGGCTAACACGGTGAAACCCCGTCTCTATTAAAAAAAAAAATACAAAAAACTAGCCGGGCGAGGTGGCGGGCACCTGTAGTCCCAGCTACTCGGGAGGCTGAGGCAGGAGAATGGCGTGAAACCAGGGGGCGGAGCCTGCAGTGAGCTGAGATCCGGCCACTGCACTCCAGTCTGGGCGACAGAGCAAGACTCCGTCTCAAAAAAAATAAAAATTAAAAAAAAAAAAATAAGTGGCCACTCGACCTGCAAGAGGCCAATACTAAGCAGGTAAACAAATAAGAGGGTGTTCCGGCATGAGAAGCTAATGCAGAAGACAAACAGCCAAGGACTGTGCTTGAGAAGAACAATGGGAGCTGCCCGGGCACCTCCCCGTGTACAGGGCCCCTCCACGCAGGCTCATTGCTCTCTCCGAGGCTCCCCGAGCTACGAAGCCCACACTTGATCCTCAGGCAAAGGATGAATCCTACGTAAGTCTCAGGAGCTACAAAAGCTGGAGTACAGCAGTGACAAGACAGGAACACGAGAAAGTTACAGGGATCGTTTCCTGCGATGATGGTTGTCAGCGCCGAGTTCCCTCGGCCACAACTAACTCCTGCCCCTGCTCTCCTGGCGGGCTTCCGGGCTTGTGCCACCGTCCACCCGCCTGCAACTGGCCACTCCTTCGAACCCTTCGACAGGCACTAGGTGTCTTTTTTGTCACCTGTGAGCATCCTCCCCAAGCATTTTTTACCACGGCTGCTCAAAAGAAGCAAAAAATAAAACTAAAAAAATTAAAATGGCGGCCAGGCGCGGTGGCTCCACACCTATAATCCCAGCACTTTGGGAGGCCGAGGCGGGCGGATCACAGGGTCAGGAGATCGAGACCACAGTGAAACCCCGTCTCTACTAAAAATACAAAAAACTAGCCGGGCGCGGTGGCGGGCACCTGTAGTCCCAGCTACTCGGGAGGCTGAGGCAGGAGAATGGTGCAAACCCGGGAGGCGGAGCTTGCAGTGAGCTGAGATCGCGCCACCGCACTCCAGCCTGGGCGACAGAGCCAGACTCCGTCTCAAAAAATAAAAAATAAAAATGGCTGTGTCTGATTTCCTCTGCTCTTCCTATAGAAACACTGCTAATGAAAATACATAAACTGAATAAACACTTGGAGAGGAAACCATCTGCTTCATCCTACTAATGTCAGTGGGAACAGTGTTTGTTTACTAGCAGGGTCATGAGGAGGGGACACAGAAAACCTTCCCAGGAACCATCAGGGAAATGGTCTGGGCGGGCATAGGGGCACCTTCTTAACCCTTTCAGATGCCCAAGAGTCACTCCGTTTCATAACCTCTGGTTGGAAGAGAAAGTTACATATATCATAAACCACAGGCTGAAGCTTATTTGCACAGTGTTTTCCACACAAAGATGATAAAACACCATGCAATTTACTATAAATACTGCCCTTGAACTTTCCACTCCGCAGAGGAAATACCTAAAAAGACCATCCAAGTTCAACCGCAAAGGTGCTTGTGGAACCAGCTACGGAACAGGAAAGATCTTAGAGCTAACTGCCAAAGCCTTCCAAAAGGTAGCACACTTTAATAATAATTGGTTTTGGGTACAAAGAAGGATGCAGACACCATGGAGAAGATGGTGTGGTTCTTTGTGCCAGGAAGCATTTAGGGGATTTGCATTTTAAACGACTGCTTTACCTACAAATCCATATTTTAAAACAAAATTAATAAGCAAAGGCCCAGGAAATTCAACCCCCAGGGAAAGACACCAGTCATCCCCAAAGGAAACTGCAGGGACTTCTGGCCCGGCGCCCGGCTCAGCTGCGTGGTGAATGCAACTGGGCCATGAGAAGTCCTTCACTTGGGGCACTCCATCAAAGTATGTTTCCAGGGTCAGACGCTTGGCCTTGAATTCCCAGCAAAAAGTTCCACAGCAAGGTTTTAAAGCAAGACCAGGGGGCTGAGTCTCACAATCCTGTAGTCACCTTCCTCCCAATCCCTGATGACTGAGCCAGCACAGCCGGTGCCTTCCAGATGCCGCTGGCCTGGCTGTGGCTGCTCTTAAAGAGCACGAGGTAGTGACTCAGAATCAGCTCCACCACCAACAGTGCTGATATATGACTTTCTACAGCCAGTTAAGGAATATATCTATTGCCCAGAGGCTAAGAGAAACATTCTGACCAAACTAGAAAAATTAAAATATGGCCGGGCATGATGGCTCACGCCTGTAATCCCAGCACTTTGGGAGGCTGAGGTGGGCAGATCACAAGGTCAGGAGATCGAGAGCATCCTAGCCAACATGGTGAAACCCCGTATCTACTAAAAATACAAAAATTGGCTGGGTGTGGTGGCACACATCTGTAATCCCAGTTACTTGGGAGGCTGAGGCAGGAGAATCGCTTAAACCCGGGAAGAGGAGATTGCAGTGAGCCGAGATCGCACCACTGCACTTCAGCCTGGAGACAGAGCAAGACGCCGTCTCAAAAAAAAAAAAAAAGAAAAAGAAAAATATGAATGGAGGAGACATGTGAAAACAAACAATGGCATTAATTCTACTCGTAAAATAAACTCACTCTAACAGTGAGTAAACATTTAATTAGCACCTACTATACACCAGGTGCCATGCTAGATGCTGGGGATATAGACAGAACAGGCAGGCAGTTGGAAGTGCACGTCATACTACTAATCCTGTGTTTAGTTAAGCTCTTACTACATGTCAAGAATTGTTCCAAACACTTTGTCACCTCTTTTTTTATTCTCATATAGTATAGAGTTTATTATTAGCCTCATTTTATCAATACAGACAGGTTAAATTCACGCTGCACAACTATCAGTAGGAGACGCCGGGATCTGAACTCAGGCTCCTTCATGCATCCGATAGGTGTATGAGTAAAGAGGTCTGCAGGAAGGAAGAAAAAGCCCTGTCCGCTGCCTGAGAGAGTAGGCATTCAGGTAAAACTGATAGGGCTTATAAGAATGCATAGGAGTTTATCAGAGAGCATGAGAAAGGTTCCTTCCAGACAAAGGGCTTATAAATGCAAAGCATAAGCCATCGGAAATGATGAAGAAAAATAATTTTAAAAGATAAAAACACACTTTTATTACTCCTTCTTGGGCAGGGAGTTCCTAGATAGGTGCTAAATAGTAGCTAGGAATGGGGTCTTGACTTACTTTGGTTTCAAGAAGAACTGAAGGTGAGTGCAGCCCAACGATCCCTGGAGTGAGTGCACACAAGAGCAGCATGTGCCAGTTCCACAGTCCAACCCACTCAGCAGAACACCGTGTAACAGAATGTGCTGCTAGAAACCTGGGCTCAGAAGTCCTTCACAGTACTGAATAGGAAACACTGGAACCAAACACCTCACTGAACCAGCCTGACAACACACACAAAAAAGCGGGTGAGGTGGCACACATATGGAACACATGTGCCAGGAGGCCCAATTCTAACCGGACGGCAGGGGCTCTCCTCAACAGAGTCTATGATTTCAGGAGATTAGCAATAGCTTTGTTCACCAAAATACAAAGCTGTCCCAAGTCCTTGAAAGATACAAATTCCACAAGAAAATCAGAAAACACAAAGGTGGTTTGCAGTGTGCAATAAATTGGTGGTTTTAAGCATAGCTATTCTGAGTTTATCTTTTCCTGAGATGTTTAATGTTAGTTCATATGCTCTGAGCGATGTTCGTTGAAATAAATATAATTTGCTGACTCATATCCCATAAATGATTCAATGATGGGTTACCAACGTTAATGCCGGCTATTAAATTCCAGCCCCTCTAGCCAACAGGAATGACACACAGATCGTCTCCACGTTAAAAACAGGTGTGCTCCCAGAGTTCTTGATAAGTTGGCTGCTTGGAATTCAAGAGTTATTTTCCTCCCCCACAAACAATATTAGACGTGGTATTTGATACTCAAGACAGAAAACCCAAAATATTAGATCTGAGGCGTGCTTAGAGTTCTCTGGACTGAGCCCATGAGAGGGAGTGGGCCGGCCGCTTAGCCAGTCAGACACTCCCACTTCTTCTCCTGCCGGGAGTAAGATGTGCGGCAGCTGCACGAAGCAGGCGGCAGCAGGAGCGATCTGAGGAGGAGGCTGGGAGAGGCGAGGCTGGGAGAGGCGAGGCTGGGAGAGGCGAGGCTGGGAGAGGCGAGGCTGGGAAAGGCCAGGCAGGAGCTCAGAGAACAACAGAAGTGAATAGTGCCAGCAGCTCCAGCTGCTGAGGCGCCCAGGCTGCAGGCTCCTCCTGTGTCCGCTCTGGGCCCCAGGCTGCTCTGTCCAGGGCCCTGGGGTGGCAGGGCCTCCCCATCTCTAGGGCTGCCATATGGTAGGCTCGGAAAGGAGGCTTTCCGACACTCCCACACCCACCCTGTGGGGTGGCATCCACAGGCTCTCCTGATTCCCTCACATGAAAACACACGTGGCTCTTTAATGATGTTCTCCAGATTGTTCTTGCCAGTGACTAGAGTTCGACAGTCCCCCGGCCACAAACACACACGCACAAGCACCAATGTGACAGAGGAACTGCCTATGACCAGTAAATTAAACTGGGATCCAGCCACAAGACCACTCTTCCCTCCAGTTACATATATATACATAATGTATACATACGCTCTTACATTACATATGTATTTGAATGGAAAGTCACAGTAAAATTCAAGTGCCGAGGCCACTGACATCACTGTATAGGTGGTTCATGCATAACTCAGACACTGGAGAGCTCGAAACCAGAATGGGTCAGCGGGGCCATGAGGGGATGGGGAGGGAGGTGCTGAACACGCAAGCCCTCCGGCCGCCTCATGTCACTGGCCATGGGAATGAGCCGAACCTCCCCACACCAAAGGCTGCCCCCCACCACATTCCTGGGTTCACAGATAAGCCCCCAACTTACTGGAACTTCAAATGCCTCCTGGGTGTCATCCAGCATCTGGATTTTGATGGACACGAGTTTTCCTGAAGGCGTTGGGGGCGGCTTCTGTCCACGTTCTAAGGTACTGATCCCCGAATTTTCTGGGGCCCCCAGTCGTGATCCTGGGGTTGGCCTCTGCTCTATTTCTCCCATGATGAAAGCGGCTTAGAGAATATCTGCAGGAAGCAGTGAGAAAGAAAAACACATCAGAACAGGAGACTCACTGATACCACCCAAGCTGTGTGCCACCTTCTCCCCTTTGTCACGGGAATTTCCCTGAACCCACCCAGGTGGGCAGGGGGCTCCATCCCCTGCACAGGAATCCCATACAGGGAGGCGTCGGTTCACTCACAAAGTCACCTTTAAGCACTCAAGGCATGCAAATACTTTTTGCATACTTTATTCTTTGGAATAATTTTGCATATTGTTGCATATTTTATTCCTTTCTTGTTTTACAGTCTGTTCTTAATTATTCAGTGTCTACAATGAGCTAGGCTAAGCACTACTTTTTTACACATTGAAGTCTGGTGGGAAGATGATAAACAGCGCCTCAGCCATATCATTAGCATCCATTAATTACCTTTTATGGACACAGTCACAAGCTAAGTACTGTGGGTATTCTAAAGATAAACAGGTAAAACATGCACTGCAGAGCTCGGGCTTATAATCTGGTTGAGGAAATAGACATACACTCACAGACATATACTCACGAAGACAGAGGCAACAGAAAGTAGGGTCATTTTTCTTGGTTTCTAGTGTCTATTTCTATTAAAATAACCACCTAATAATTCCTTTCTTTCCAGCCACCCACCCCACCAACTATTCCCCCTTTCCCAAGAAGCCATTCTACACACTACACTATAGTATCAACAAAGTTATTTTCCTAAAAACAACCATCTTTCCTCTCCAGATAGTCTACTCTTGTCTAATGACACCCTCAGCTTCTCCCTCCCCTCTCGCTGTCTCTATCTGGCTCCAGGTCTCCACATGCGTGGCTCACTGTGGCTCAGTGCTTTGCCCACTTTCTTCACCTGGAAACTTCTACCATTGCTTTAAAACTCAGTTCAAATGTCACATCCCGGCCAGGCGTGGTGGCTCACACCTATAATCCCAGCACTTTGGGAGGCCAAGGTGGGTGAATCACCTGAGGTCAGGAGTTCGAGACCAGCCTGGCCAACATGGTGAAACCCTGCCTCTACTAAAAATTCAAAAATTAGCCGGGTGCCATGGCGTGTACCTGTAGTCCCGGCTACTCGGGAGGCTAAGGCAGGAGAATCACTTGAACCCAGGAGGTGGAGGTTGCAGTGAGCCAAGATCACACCACTGTACTCCAGCCTGGGTGAGAAGCGTGAAACTTAGTATCAAAAACGAAAACAAATGTCACATCCTGGCATCTGGTGCAGAGTACATGTGCTGCTATCCCCTCTGTGCTCATTGCTGTCAAAGCCACACCGTGGTGGTTGAGCCCACGTGTGTGGAGAATGCATTGTGATGCCCTTAAAAAGCAGGAACCCAATCTCGAATGTCCCTTGCAGCTCAGTGCCTACCTAGGCACAATGCCTCACACAGAGTGGAGGTCAATATTGGCTGCCTAACAACTGGACCACTCGGCCAGTGTATTTATATGTGGCTGCATATTTAGTGTCAGAAGGACACAAGGGAATGAGATTTCCATGTGAGATGAAGTGGTTGAAAGAGAGGGAAGGCTTCCATCATGGAGAAGGTGAGAATTGAACTCAAGTTGGTCTCAAACATTGGATAATACTTGGAAAGAGATAGGAGACAGACAAGGAAAAGGCACTCCTGGGAAGTAGAATGGCATCCACAGAGTTACAGGACAGAAACATGATGGCACAGAGGAAAAAGAGTGAGAATCAGAGCCAGAGAGTTCAAGATGTATTTTAGAAATGATTTGAAGTCAGGCTCTAGTGCAGCGGTCCCCAACCTTTGTGGCACCAGGGACTTGTTCTGTGGAAGACGGCTTTTCCACAGATAAAGTGGAGGCAATGGTTGCGGGATGAAACGGTTCCACCTCAGATCATCAGGCATTAGATTCTCATAAGGAGCACACAACCTAGATCCCTTGCATGCGCAGTTCCCAACAGGGTCCATGCTCCTATGAGAATCTAATGCTGCAGCTGATCTGACAGGGGGTGGAGCTCAGGCGGTGATGCTCGCCTGTTGCTCACCTCCTGCTGTGCAGCCCAGTTCCTGACAGGCCACGGACCACTGGTCCACCGCCCAGGGTCTGGGGACCCCCCCTCCTTTAGAGGACTCCAAATGCCTAGCTGAAAAATACGGTCTTTACCCTGTAGGCAGCAGGAGTCACTGAGGGAAGACTAACAACACAACAACAACAACAATTTCAGAAAAATGAACTTGAAGACGGTACTATATATAACTAAAGAAAGAGGGTTGGGAGGGCAGAGGCTGGGGCATCCAGTCACAAATCAACTGTCACAGTTCATGCTTGAAATGCCAATCTGGACAGCAGCAATGGAAATCAAAAGGTGATGCTATAAAATCTACTTTTGTGGAAAAACTAACCCAATGTTACAAATGGTTAGCTACTGAGAGGAGGAGGTAAAAGTCTAACACTGGGCCGGGCGTAGTGGCACAAGCCTGTAATCCCAGCACTTTGGGAGACCGAGGCGGGCGGATCACGAGGACAAGAGATCCAGACCATCCTGGCGAACACGGTGAAACCCCATCTCCACTAAAAATACAAAAAATTAGCCGGGCGTGATGACGGGCGCCTGTAGTCCCAGCTACTCGGGAGGCTGAGGCAGGAGAATGGCGTGAACCCCGGAGGCGGAGCTTGCAATGAGCCGAGATCGGGCCACTGCACTCCAGCCTGGGTGACAGAGCGAGATTCCGCCTCAAAAAGAAAAAAAAGGTCCAACACTGATGAGAAAGTTTGAAATCAGGGCAGAAGGGAGGAAGTGGGAGGGGGAGGGGGAGGTGTGAGTGTGCTTTGGAACGTTCCCTAGGGCTATAAAAGGACATCCTGTGGGCTTTCCTGTCTGGAAGCTGGAGCTGGGTCTGGGCTATGGGTTCAGGGTGAAAGCCGTGAGAATCAAGGGAAGGGGTTAAATGTGTAACCAAAAAAGCAAAATGAACCACCAGGCCCAATGGTGAGGGTCATGGAGAAAGAGGAGATGGGAAAAAGAGACCCCCAGGGGGCAGTTCTGGACAAAAGGGCACAGAAGGGGCACCACAGAGCTATCTGGGGTGTGAGGAATAGAACTGTGGGCTGCGTCTCACTCACATTGGAGAAAAAGTCACCCTTTCTTTCTTTCTGGCCACCCACCCCTCCAACTATTCCCCCTTTCCCAAGAAGCCATTCTACCATTCCACACATTGCACTATAGTATCAACAAAGTTTTTCTTTTTTTCTATTAATTTTTTTCTTATCTCATTTTATTTCTTATGATTTATTTTTGCAAAGGAGTCTCACCCTGTTACCCAGGCTGGAGTGCAATGGCGCGATCTCAGCTCACTGCAACCTCTGCCTCCCAGGTTCAAGCGATTCTCCTGCCTCAGCCTCCCCAGTAGCTGGGATTACAGATGCCTACCACCATGCCTGGCTAATTTTTTTTTTTTTTTTTTAAAGTAGAGATGGGGTTTCACCATGTTAGCTAGGCTGGTCTCAAACTCCTGACTTCAAATGACCCAAGTGCTGGGATTACAGATGTGAGCCACCACGCTGGCCCCTTCTCTTTTGAATGCCTGATTCCACAGGTCTGTTATATAAGTGCCTTTCTCACTTCTGCCTCAAATAAGCTTTTTCTAAGCATCTGTTTCTAATCTGTTTGGTTGTGTGATCTCTGCTTTGGTTCATTCACTCATTAGCCTTGAGGGATGAGACCAGCCTGGTTAATCTAGAATCCCAGCCTAGTGCCCTTCACCGAAGTGGAAAAGATACCCTCAATATTGGGTCAATTAACCAAAGTGTGTGTGTGTGGAGGTGGTGGTGGGGGAGCAGTATATTCATTATGAAGTCAGTCGTATCCAAAATAATCTTCACAAGCCAGGCAAAATTACTTCTATTCCATATATGTTTTCTGTTCACTGTCTCATGGTTAAAAATAAATGCAATCTCCAGAGAAAGCTATACCATCAGTCAAGTTGGCCTTCCCCCTTCCCAGTCCCTCCGTGCACTTTTCCTACTTTGGTGTGGCCCCTCCCCACCCCACCCTCCTTCCCTGTACTTGCTCAGCACCTGTGCACGGTCATTTACACTGGGCTTTAGCTGGGCTTGTCAAGCAGGCATGGACCTGGCTACGGTGTTGATGCCCATCCAGGGAGCCAGTGACGGCAGGAAGGAAGGGCTCTACTCTCCCACCTCACCCTAGCCTAAAGGTGCTCAGACCCTCCCTGCAAATATTTTCTCCTTGTCCTACCTAAGCAAAAAGCAAGACTCCTCATCCTCTGAACTGAACTCCTCTCTGTCTCTCTTGCCCAAGATCCCCAGATAAATATATATTCTGATTTTTAGCACCTTGGCATTTAAAAATTTAATTGAGTTAGTCATTAACAGATACTTGGTAGCTTAACTTCCTTTCTCTTTAGTTCTCAAATGATCTCATGTCTAGGTTATTTCTACTTCTGGATAATGATGCTTGAACAAAGTATGTCATACTTTCTTTTTGTTATCATACTTGCGTGCAGACTGTTTCTGTACATGGAAAGGTCTGTTTAATTCAACCATAAATCCAGCCAAGAGTTTTGAGTTGAGCATCCTAAGAACGCTAAGGGAACATCTCAGGAACGCTGGCAAGTCATAAATGGGTAACCACAATTGATGCTTGATAGCAAAACTGATAAGCCCAGTAATGCAACGCCGTCTTCCAGATAAACAAATCCAACAAACCTAAAGGCCTCTAGTGTATAAATACTAACCTATGCTCTATTCTGAATTTCTCTCCATTAACTTCCTCTGACTTCTCAATTTCTTGAGGAATAGTCAAAATAAAAACTACTATTTCTTTCCTTGTGATACCTTATTACTAAAATGATGATTCTAGACCTTAAAGTTAAAAGCTGCTGCAAAACTACTTTATTAGTTAGCTCTATTTGAAAAGTTACTTTTAAAAAGTAACAACAACAACAAAAAACCAAGATTTTTAACTGCCAGAGAAAAGGTAAAAAAACTAGAGTTGTCTTGTCATAGTATCCTGA